TATTTTTACAACACCCTGAACTTCCCTCTCAATTTGGATATTTTACCCCAAGAATTTCCCCTTTTCCACACAGCATACAGTTGGAATTTCACATTTTTTTGCTAGAAATGCTGATTTTTTGGAGCAGAAGTTGAGCCAGGCTTGTTTCTGTGTGCTGCAGGTGCGGACCCGCTCGGTGGGGGAGTGTGTGGCTTTCTATTACATGTGGAAAAAGTCGGAACGTTACGATTTCTTCGCTCAGCAGACCCGCTTTGGGAAGAAAAAATACAACCTGCACCCTGGGGTCACGTAAGATGGGCCTGATTTCATCATTTTGGGGGTTCAGTCTTTGTTTTGTCTTCCTCTCAGCTGAAAATTCAGGGATTCAGAGCCTCATTTGCAGCAGGAAAACAGCCAAAGTGTAAAAAAATGTCCTAAGTGTGCATAAATAATGTGTAAAGTACATTGATGTGGGGCAAGGCCAACACTGCACTGAGAGCAATCCGAGTTTGAGTTCTGTTAGGATTTGGTTGGTTTACTTTTTAAAAGTTAATAGGGTTTTTTTTAAATGTTTGTTTTAATTAAATATATTTTCCACAAAAGCATGAATTCCCATTTCCAGGTGGAATTTGTGGTGCATTGTTTGTCCATCCTTCTGGCCAGCACAACACCAATCCCAGGGGATTTCTGCTTTCCCATTCCCATCCCTGCCCACTCTTTCCACTGCCTCCTGCCAAGCTCTTTTGCTCTTCCTTTCATTCCTCATTTCTTCCTGGCTCCTCTCTTGATCCTTCTTTGGAATATTTTTGTTCCTCCAAACATTTCAGGGCTCTGGGACACCCAGAGTGCCATCAGGGACATTGTGGGTGTTACAGAGAATTTCTTACCTGGCAGGGGCTGCCTGGCTGCCCCTTCCTTCCATCTCTTGGTGGGTTTTTCCCCCCTATTTTCCATTTTTTTTCCCCCATTTTCCCTATTTTCCATTTTTTTCCCCCAAATGAGACATTTTTGGGTCTCTCCCTGCTGTTGGGTGCAGCAGCAGTGTCATTAAGGACTGGACTTGTCTGCTCTTGAATGATTTTGCAGATAAATTCAGGGAATTCAGGCTGGAATTCCAGGATAATTACGTGTCAGGAGAAGTTTCTGGAGTTGCTCCAGCCCTCCCACCACATCCAAGGGTTTCATCCACCTTCTCCCTTTGTTTCCAACTCCATCCCCATCCCTGGAGCTCTGGGATAAATGGCACAGATGGGATTGGCTTGGGCTCTGGAGTTTTTCACTTGGTTTTAGCTTGACCCCTTTAGGGGTTTTGTGCACAAATGGGATTTATTTTTACTGGAATGCTTTGGTATTGGTGGATCCTGTCCCAGCTGTGTCTGTCTGTCTGTCCTGCAGGGATTCCATGGATCCTGTCCTACTGTGTCTGTCTGTCTGTCTGTCCCACAGGGATGGATCCTGTCCCAGCTGTGTCTGTGTGTCCTGCAGGGATCCCATGGATCCTGTCCCAGCTGTGTCTGTCTGTCTGTCCTGCAGGGATTACATGGATCCTGTCCCAGCTCTGTCTGTCTGTCTGTGTGTCCTGCAGGGATTCCATGGATCCTGTCCCAGCTGTGTCTGTCTGTCTGTCTGTCCCGCAGGGAT